ACTCTTTCCGTGCTAAAAAACTTTTAAAGTATGAAAATACCCCATTGCTATAAATAGAATTGTGCCCATATAACATAGCTCTCTATTTTAAATTACTATGTCTGAAATAAACTGGAGCAATTACTACGTTGAAATATGTACCCGATAGCCTAAGAGTAGGCATAGTCTGGAAATGCAGACGCTCTTTGGTATAATAAAGTATCCTTGTCAAGAGAAGGGAAAACTGCCCAAGCAGCTGGCATGTAGAAGTCACAGCTGCCAGGCCAAATCCTGCCTCAGGCATGACACAGGCGGTGCCATTGATTTAATGGAACTTGTTTGTGTGAATTACTGTTACAGGGCTTGGTTCTAGGCAGAAAACCTAAATTTAATTTATTTTTGCAAAATAACACCCAAGATTTCACCCTACCGCCTTTTACGCAAGAAAGTTTATCCCAAGTGCTTGGAAGAGGAAAAGCTAGTTTCTAAGGTTATTTGCAGTATTTTGCAACATACATGTTGCTCCAGTGACCCTATTTAATAATTTCTTAAACCTATCTCTGAGATAGCACTTCATATATTTTTCTAAATCGATGAAACATGATAGAAATACCAGCTGTCCTATTCATGTATCTGAACAAAACAACTGATCTGTGAGAGTATATTAATCAATATCAGAAGCAAACATTTAAAGTTTTCCAACTCCAACACTATATTGATGAGCTTTTACCAGGGAGGGGTCCAAGTTTAAGCCATGACTAATTCTGACTCCAGGGAATGTATATTTGTGTGATTTCAGCCCAGTTTTATCTTTTGCTCAGCAAAAAAGTCCAGGCTAACTGGCTGGAGTTAGGATAACCACTCAAACTAACCACCCCAGCGATTTTTAAAGCGACTTTTTTTGTTGTTTTTGTTTCAGGTAGTCGTGAATCTGCTTTTGTACATGCCATCTCCTCCGCTGGAGTTGTTTTTGCCATCACCAGGGCATGTAGCCAAGGCGAGTTGAAATCCTGCTCCTGCGATCCCAAGAAGAAAGGCTCTGCCAGGGACAGCAAGGGCCATTTTGACTGGGGTGGCTGCAGTGATAACGTCGACTACGGCGTTAAATTTGCCAGAGCCTTTGTGGATGCCAAAGAACGGAAAGGAAAAGATGCCAGAGCACTGATGAACCTTCACAACAACAGAGCTGGAAGGAAGGTGGGTGTCGATCCAGCAGATGCCTGGAGATGCTCTCAGTGAGATCTCACGGGCCTGGGGCAGGTAATGCCGGCCCTTGCTGCCTGGTCTTCAGCAGTTAGGAAGAAGTATGGGATAAGCGGGAGCCTGAGATGCTATTTCTCTCTCCCTTGGAGGTTCAGCGTGGCAGAGATCTCCAAATCGACGGAGCGCAACTGCTTAACAGTGCTCCCGTCTGAGTCAATTGAGTGGTTCTTTGCGTGGGAAGTTAAGCTGGAGTCCAAGTCGTTGCAGGATCAGTTCGGACAGAGGTTTTGTTTCGAGCCTATTCCTTATATATGGAGGGGTTTTACTTTTGGTTAATAGAGAATAGAAATTCCTAAGGGAGGCTGAAGACGACGCTGAAGAGCAAATTCAAAATAGAATTGGAGAAAAAAAAATCCTCTCCTTTCCTGTATGCATATGGTAAACCTAAACACAAAATGAGTGGAGATAAAATACGATTACTTCACTTTTTAATAAAATTAACCCAAAATAACCCAATGTCCCTACAAAAGGCGCTGGCCTTGGGGCATGACCTGCTCTAAACCAACCCCTTTTCTAAACGTTGTGTGAAAATACCATTCCTGAATTTCAACAAAAGGAGTCTTTACTTTTTTTTACTGTGGGCGATCAGGAGGAGGAGTTGCCAGGCGTATTGCCCACTGCTGGTGCAAGGGCTGAGGATCACAGGCACTAACGTTTTGTCGTGGTAGCTATAAATAGTAAGAATAGTGCATGAAATTGGAACATGTCGTTTCATTGTTCAAAACGTATTCAAAATTTGTTGCATCCACGACATCTGAAATAATACAGAAAAATATTTCATAGTGCTAGACCAAGCACTTCTAAAATGATTCGTAGAACCTTCTTGTTTCTTGCGTTTGGTTTTCCTTAATGTATATTCAGTAGGACATAAATTGTTCATATTCTGATCTTTTAGTGTTAAAAAGTTCCCTTTCTAAACTGTAAAATTGTTCTGTATTAACTAGCCCTTATTAGAAGATCCAGTTTTAATGAATTGTACTGCAGGTAGATGATTTTTCTGGTAAATACTTCTCCTTCAACATCTTTCCTCCACCTGTTTATTACCAACAGGTGTAATTAACATGTAATCCAGGCCGATGCGGCTATTTGGATCAGTGATATGCATATGCAATACTATGGCTGTATTTATGTTACTGGCCAAAAGAGACTTCAGTCTGCAACACAAGCAAAGACCTTCATAGGGGTGAATTAGCTCCGTGCTGGCAAGTACTTTCTGTAGTAGCTGAGTATCTTAGTAAGGTTAAAACAACCCATATGCCAAATAATAAGACAGTATTGGTAAGCAGGTAGGTTTTTTTGAAAAAGATCAAAAGACTTTAATAAATACATTCGATTAAAAATAGTCAGCACATTCTCGTATGCTCTAGGACCTGCTTCGTAGGAAGGGATGCTGTTTTGTAGCCACAGTGCAATGGCGTAGGTTTAGCTTTGCAGGGATCTCCCTACCTCAGCCCGCCCGCGAGCCCGGCATTCAGATCTGGGTAAGACCAGCTGTGCCCTCAGCTTTTTCTCACCCCCCAAAAGGGATGTTGATAGGTTTCTTTTAAAACTAGACTATTCAGATTTTGCTAATTCAAAAATACATAGAGTAAATATTTATAATGTTCCCATATGAATCATATGAAGCAATGTGCTGTGTATCAGTATAGGAACATCACTGACAAAAAAATAAAAGTCCTGCATTCCTACGTGCTTCTCCCACTGTTCCAGCAAGTTGTTTTAAACGTACAAGTACTTAAACTGATTTCTACTCAGATAATTAAAACCAAGCATCTGCTGAAATCCCAGTTTTGTGATAGTACCATTGGCAATGAAGCGGCGCTGTGGGAATGTCAGTGACTTCTTTGAAGTAGTCGTATCATTTACAAGTTGGAAAGAAAATGGAAAGTGCTTTGGTTTTATAACACATTCTCGCTTTATTACTAAGTGCTTGACTGAAAAATGCTGCCCTGCTGTGCATCAGTCTCGCTTCTAATCCTGGAGCTTTCCTCTCTCTTACCTTCCTCCCATGATGCTGTTCCTCTTGTACAAACTCTAAACTGTTCATATTTCCTGAACCCTTAAGGCATAATATTTGTAGATCAAATACCCATATCTTCAGAATTAGGAATGAATTATTTATTGTACATGAACCCATCTGTTCTCCAACATCGTACAGATAGCTTAAACGTCTGAGATGAAGCTGAAATGGCTTTAATGCTGTCCAGACATTAAATTAATGATGAAGGTGATCTCTCCAGTGCAAGTGAATGAAGGTCTTATTGCAAAATGTTTGTTAAAAGGCTTATAAGCATTTTAAAAATACCATATTTTCAGATTTTGCATAGATCTGATGCCTAGCCCAGGTAGGACGCTTTGCACAGTCTTTGCAAAATCATTTAAATATGAAATGCCTATGAATTTCTGGGCAATATTTGAAACGCTGTTCAGGGCAGAGGGCGACTTCGTGAAGGTGAGCGAGAGAGGATCAGCATGGCGATGTTTCGGCTGGAACGATGGGGAAAGGGGGTACCTTTGCCTACCAAGGTGCTGAGCGATTCTGTCCACTTCCCAGCTCGTTTCCTCCTGTCCAGTCTGTATCCTAGCATTACGGACCATCTTCATCCTCGGGACGACTGGGAGGAGCGGGGAAGGGAAGCCCACCAGCCGGAAGGTTGTGTGTGTAGGGTTGAGTCAAGCACCCAGAGCACACCAACCATGTGGGGATGACTTGATGCTGCCTGTGGGTGTCACTGCAGACCGTGATGTGGAGCCCCATCGCAAGCCTGGCATTACGGGATGAAGGGAAAAGGGCTGAGAAGTGTAAATTACAGATTGTTTTACCTGTGTATATTTTACTGCGTTTCTAAACAGGCCGTGAAGCGTTTTTTGCAACAGGAGTGCAAATGTCATGGTGTGAGTGGATCGTGCACTCTAAGGACCTGTTGGCTGGCCATGGCAGACTTTAGGAAAACAGGAGATTATCTGTGGAAGAAATACAATGGAGCCATTCAGGTGGTCATGAATCAAGATGGCACGGGTTTCACTGTGGCTAATAAGAGATTTAAGAAGCCAACTAAGAATGACCTGGTATACTTTGAAAGCTCTCCAGACTACTGTATCAGGGACAGGGATGTAGGTAAGCCTCTATCGTTACACGTGAATGGTTTTATTTCAGACATTTGTGCTTTCAAGGTCAAAAAGTATCATTATTATTGAGTGTGTGTTTGTGTGTGTGTATATATATATACACATACATATA